CAGCCTGGAACAGATTCCTTCCATATGTTTGCACCAGGTTAATCTTGGCCGTCCTCTGGGCCTTTTGCCGACATATATTGCATACATAATCATATATCTCATTACTTTTCTGCTCAAGATATGTTAGTCTTAAATGACAGTACCAAAACAGTGGTCATTGAAACCATCAAAAACATATTATTCAATCATAACAAAAATACCTTAACTTAAATAATTAGTTCTTAATTTCTAATGGACCACATAAAACCTCACTGAAAGCTTAACGCATACCTTAATGTAATCTGCATGTCCCGGGCAGTCCACGTGGCCATAATGTCTGTTTTCGGTTTCATATTCAACGTGGGCGGCATTTATTGTTATTCCTCGACTTTGCTCTTCCGGCGCATTATCGATGTCCTCGTACTTTTTGAAAACCGCCTGTTTCTTGGAAGACAGCACTGTGAACGAAATAATTTAACAAATTTAAAATTAACAAACAAATTAAAACAGTTTTATGTCGCCAGGTCCCAGGCCATGTACACTGACAATACATACAGCTGCGAAGCAAAAAAATATGTTACGATCACTGCATTTTCTAGCCAGCTGCATGCAAAATTTATAGTGGTTTGTAGTAGTTTTTGTACCATTTTCGTATTACTTGTTATTATCACTTATTTCAGTGCTGGTATTAACCGTGGAGTTCACTACTCAACACTGTTATTCAACTCAATTCTTTACACTGTTCTCTGAAACAATGCAGACCTTGGTAAAGACGAAGGCGTCATTCTACAGGTAAAGCGCGTTAAAAATATCCTAATGACTTGGAGTACGCAGATTATCTCATCCTGGAGTAGCAAAGAAGACTGGCTCTGGCATCAGACGACTTCGGAACTCAACAGGGCTACAAAATCCAGCCTTTTCCTTAATGCCCGGAAGTGAAAAGTTATGAGGATATTATTCGGCACAGCTTGTCTACAAGTAGAATAGGGAGGTAAGGCCACTGAGGAAGTTAATCAATTTAAGAATTCCAGCTTCATCACCTTCAGAGATGACATCATCTAGCCAGAGTTAAATAGGAAGATCGCCCTAGGCTCAAGTGAAAACTTTTCCAATAATTTGGCTGAGAAACGACTGGCTCTTCCCATGAATATTTACATGTACTTTGCGTGTCGTTGCATGGCATGGAGACAATTGTTCTAACGATGGAGCAAGGACGACGGTCGAATTGAGGACAGCAACGTTGGCTTCGACTTATAATGAAGGTTTGGATTCATGGATTCCAAGGCGCAATAATTTCAACTGTTAAACTGATGTGGGTCATCTGACCTTAGATTTAACCCTCTGTCATTGGTCACATGGCATTCTGAAAATGGTTCCTGCGAGTAAGGTAAGTACGTCCAGATGACGTTTATGCAACAACTTCCTTACGATTATTGCAAAGCTAACGGGCTTAATGGAAAAAAAGAAATCCCGATCACTGCTGGCTGCTTGCAAGAAACCTAAATGCGGAGAGCAGAAGAAACCAAACATTACTTACCTTTGGTGATTGCCGAAGTCAGGGTCGTTTTGCCATGATCCACGTGACCGATGGTCCCGATATTCAGGTGCGGTTTTTCTCGTTTGTATGCCACCTTCTGTGCCGTGGCCGTAGCCAGGTATCGCACATGCCGAAAATTCAAATGATCAGATTTGACAGCACAGCGTTGACACTTCAGAATAGTACTCAGAGCATCGAGGCCACCTTAAAAATTGAAATAACGTACAAGGTATGAGTTCACAGCTACACGAAGTGAGCTGTGGCCAGTACAGTGAGATGTAATCAAATATATGACCAATTAACACGTCGATAAGAGAAAAGAATTAAAATAATTAGCCGGAACTATGCACGTTTGATCTGCACTTGCTGAAAAAGTTACAGTGATGAGATAAAAGAAAAGCTCAAAAAAGGAATAGAAATGCATAGCTATTTTCAGCATAATTTATGGAAAAGACAGACGAACACAACACCGTGAAGAAAAACGACATTCAAGGTAAAACGAGCAAAACAGTCCTACAAGAAGCCACATGAAACGCGACTAATATTCAGGACGAAACAGGAACAAAGCAAAGCGACAAATATTCGGGATGAAACAGGAACAAAGCAAACTCACATTGAGACGAATCATGACCGTCAACGTGACCTCCGTTGTCACGCCTTGAACAGGTGCCAAGAAATGGAAGTATTTCTTAGTCGTAAACTCAATTCACATTTACATCTTTATCAAGCCTCAAATTTTACTGTTCATTTGTACACATTAATGGGCACGCCTGCTAAACCGGTAACAAATTATGAACATCATTCAAACTGCGGTGACCTCGAAATTTCACCTACCGAAAGGTAATCACCTTAAACATGATTGCGAATGATCCTACACTACTTGAAATCTTACTAAACTATCTAAACGATATGTGCATAACAATTACCTAAATTTGTACCTAAGTTTAACAAACTTTTCGATGAAAAACTTGACCCCAAATCACATATCCTTATACCGTTTACATTCAGCCATTGCAAACTTTCTAACTTATAGCTTTAATGAGTTTTTTCTCTGCTGGAAACTTTCGAGAAAGTTTGCTAAACAAAATCGTCGTCTAAGCAAATAGGCTAAGAATGCCATATATCAAGTCAGTGGCGATTGCGGCAATTTTGTCTATATTTGGCGAAAACGCAAAAATCTAAACGTCAAAACTGAGGAACAAACGTCATCCAACCGCAATTTGCTGACATTCTGGCATATTCATCATGCCCTTGAAAACCGTAATAACTGTAACAGCCGTAACGCCAAAGTCACTCAAATCTATCAAGATTAAATCAAGCCAATGACTAAGAAATCCCTACATATCTCCACTAATCAAGGTAAGGTATTTAATGGTTGTGAGACCTCATATAATAATTTATGGTAAGGAGATCAGTCCACTGCATCCTGCTTCCAATGGTTTGATCAAGTTATTTTAATTGTTTACTTGTTATTGTAGCGTTATCACTGACACTGATGTCAATCGATGTATGGCTGTATCGAAACGATGCTGATTCCCTTAGTACTACCAACAATTAATCGACATCTGGTTGTACTCTATACACGCACACGACGGCACCCATTCCCTTAAGTTTCAGACGGACGATATGGCGCTGGTTTCTGAAATATGAGGCGTGTCTGCTTGTAAAGAGGAGAACGATGGTCCAACTATGCATCTGTTGGCTCATATTAACCACTGACTGCAAGTGGGCAGAGTCACATATTTATTTAACGGAGACTCTTGCTATTAGAAAACAAAAGAAAATAAGAGTGATCCATTTCCAAATCCAACAGGTACTTGCGGCTGTGTAGTTAAAAAATGATACCGCTAGTCAGTAATTTTCCGTCCAGGAAACTAGGGAGTCCGGAGAAATATTTCATTGTACAAAATGTTTAGTCGCAAGGCTTCAAGCGGTGAGATCTGTAGTATTCATTCTGAAGAGAATATTTTTGCGTATTACGAACCGCCTTTCTGAACTAAGCAAATAAACATTCTTGTTTTGTTCTTTTTCCTCTTCTTTTTGCTTCCTTCTTTCACTTGTTGTTTATGAACTCCTTTTTCTTTGACTTCCCCGCTTTCTCCCTTTTCGTGAAGATCGTCTACTTTATGATGTTCAGGAAGGTTTTCGACAGCATACTTTGAATGGAAAACAAAATGAAAATTAAGCAATGATATGCGCCATGACCACAGAATGTTTATAATGACGTCTACTAACTGCTTCTAACAGGCAGACGCTCGACCTCAAACGTCTATGCCCTTATCCATTACATACCTTTGTAACTGCAATAAATGATCAATGTACTGCCTCAGCAAAGTTACGCTTTAATATCTTGAAAATTTTACTTGCAAACTGATGGCTGCTTATATGACAGTGCACACGCACCTCCGTACTTTCACTGACTCGCGTTCACAGAAAACACACAGAAGCCCCAGTGACTGAATGGACAATGCTATATAAAACTGACAGTACAAGAAAAGTGAAAAGAGAACGCATGATCCGACACGCTGGAGAATATATATTGAATATATATGAACTGAATTTCCGCACAACAGACTCAATTACTCATTCTTAATGATAATAATAATAAACCATTCAATACCTTGGCAATAACGGATCCTCCGTAGAACAAGTGGAAACAGAACCACCATCGTTTAGCAGAAATCGCGGCGTTGCGTTGCTCTCGAAAGTCAATATTCAAATCCAAATCCGCACCTATTCTCTGACTGACTTGAAATCTAAACTAATCAGCTTAGTGAAGTCATAAACAACAGTCGGTTCGAACTGTGCTAAGCAGAAGTTTCGAGAAAATTCATAAAATGTGGATGAATCTGTAAGCAAATCCCAGCACATTGAATGACTGGACACAGTTAACGCAGTTACGCACGCCAGATGACCATAACAACAAACGACGTTCATGTCAACGAAACAGTATCAGCATGTGACAGGCAATATGTAAAGCTTAAAGTAACTTCTCTTGCGGTAATCTGAATGAATTTCATCCGTACGATATAGCGAAATTTTAACACCACGCCTCTCTACACGAAGTAAGCAATGCTCTCATCAACAATGGGCAGAAAGAAGCAAACCTCTAACCAAAATCATAAGTCACTAAACAAATCTGTGATCGTTACTCAATGGTTAGATTTTCGTTCACAGATGAACACAACATCAAATTACCATACACTTAACATTTCAGCTGCATAGTTCTTGAATATAAGAAAAAAAGAAATTTTGTCATCGCTGGAATGTCAATCTTCCTTCACATTCACGACTGGGCCATGTTAGTGCCTTTCTTTTTTATGAAGTGGATGGACCGGTGCTGATCTCTGTTTTAACGCCATTAACAGGTGACTCATTTTATTAGTCAGAGTCTACAGACATGTGGCGAGCGCAGCAAGTAGTCTCCTGTTTCCTTCCTACAGAATGGTACTCATCTATCAACCTCAGAATGAAGATGGGCGAGTGAGCCCGATCGGGGCTTGAACTCTGAATCCATCAGTTCTCGGACGCTCTACATTTTTTTACCTCGGTATAAAGCAATGTGTGAAAAATTTCTTACTCACGGTAATTCGTGAATAGTACCTCCAAGACAGTAAGCAGACCGCTTAGACAGTGTGCCAACTACTGGATATAGACAGGACAGCGAAACGAGAAAAAGTGGTAAATCTTTCAGTAGTCAGATTTTTTATAGAAACGCCATATGCACACTTCACAACTTACTTGCCGCCATAAAATAATCAAATTGTTCTAAAACGTTTTAATTACCAACTTCACAGGAAGGTAACAGTGGGAGTTGGAAAGTAACCTCAGAACCCCGTAGCTTAAAACCGCGAGAACTTTAGATACAACAAAAACAATAGCGGTTAAACTTTCACCTATTATCACATTGAATAAGCAACTATAAATTGGGTCACGATGAGTTACAGTCCTATGAAGAGCTCGCATCAGACAGCATGACCAAACCTCTCGGCCATTCCAGTACGACCACGACAGAACACTATGCTGCACCTATCAATAGTAAATTACGGACTTACTACGCGTTGCTCGGCTGAATGTACCAGAGCAAGGTGAAGTAAATCGAATAATGAAATGATAAATGCGACAAATATCATCCATTCTTTGGATTCGAACGCGAAACCACGAAGTTCAAACTACACCTAGCTACTGAGGCATCGCGCCCGAGAATCTAACTTGACAAAATGAACGCAATCATCATAAGCGGTAACCTCAGCTATGAATTTGACTAAAAATGGAATCCTCTGCAGCTCCATCCATGCAACCTCCTTCCATCCAACCACGAAACTGACCCGCACACACAGTCACAATATTGCCCCAACGGATTCCAACGGTTGCGCAACCTGGCGATGAATCTATGTGACGAATCCCAGCTACGAAACCACAACTAACCATAATTTCCTTTTTTTAATTTAGAACCGTGCTTAATCGACTTCATTTTAAACTCATTATCGAAACGCTACACAGACGCTTCCTCCCAACATAAGGAACTGACTGCAAGCCGTATACACATAAAAGTCGACGCCAAAACACGTGTAACCCACAAACTTGCCAGTTCAGTACTTGATATTTGCTAGTTCAATATCGGTGC